ACCGCCGTACTCTCCACCACCCCTTTGATTGGATCCTCCTTCCCAGCCCTGATCTCCCGCTTGGGACCATCTTTAGCACCATCAACGAATAAGCTCGGCCTCACAATCGTCCACTCTTCCTCGCTCTTGAGCAGCGCGTTTTCCATGGCCTTCTTGTCCTTGTGAGGAACCTTCAGACCGACATGATACAACGGGACAAACAACAGCGGCACATCCCTCCCAAGATCGGAGACACCTGTCGAGCTGACAGCAACAATCCGCGGCTTGCCCTGCAAATTGTGCTCCGTCCTGGCTTTCTGCAGGGCAGCCAAGACTGTCCTGATGCCATTCTCGCATACATGGGCGTCGTCCATGCCCATTTTGGACAGGCTGAAGTAGGCGCCGATGGAGAAGACGATCATATCTGGGAGGCTCTGATGGGGCGAGGACGGCGAGGGGAGAAGGGCGCGGAGGACGGCATCAATGTCGTGGGCGTTGCCCTGCTCGATCCGGAGTGACTTTTGATCGGCTTCAGCGGGGAAGCGAGAGGAGAGGGTGGAAGGGGTGCGACAGAGAGCTGTGCAGGAGTGGCCGGCCGCGAGGGAGCGCTGGAGGGCAGAAAAGCCTACGCCTCCTGTTGCGCCGAGGAAGAGGATGGACTTGGGCATTGTGAGGTGGGGACTGGATGTTGAAGTCAGAGACTCGAGACAAAATAAGAGTAGGTAATGGGTGGTAAGTGGCAGGGCAAGATCGCTTGATCACAGCCCGCCAGAGGAGAGGGAAGTCGCTCTTTTTACCTATCCCCCAAAATCGCATCCGGCACGCGCCTCGCAGACACGCAATCTACATCGTTTCTTGTCTTGTTCGGAGCAATGTTCTCAAAATCGTGGCGCCAGCGAACAATGCGCCTCCACCGGCAGTGGGATGGCCATGTTGAATGTTGTGCCGTGGTGGTGGTTTGGGCTTGAACAGGGCCCAGAATGCGACGTTGGCGCACCCCAGACTCGGCGATCCATCGCAACGTTCCTCCGATTGCTCCACTGTGGCTTTTTGTGCGGGGTTTCATTGGACGCCAAATCGATCCGAACCCGTCTTGGCCTGCCAAGACCTGTCAGGTTGACACAGACTGAGTGACGACGGGAACATCTGTATCTTCGGTGATTTCCTCGATTAGGCGCTTATCTGATGTGCTTGTGGAAAGCAGTATGAGCCGCCCCTAACCCCAGAAGAACACAACCTTTCACGGTCATTTTTCGCGTCAATCAGGCCCAGGTCTCGAGATCCCACCGCTACCACCTGCCCTCGCACCTACTGGACGCTGATGGCAGCACCATCTGCTCGGTTACGACCTGCAAGCCTCCTTGACACACATCTACACGTGTACTGACCAATCTCACCAATTCTTCTCGTTGAGACCTAGGTAGCCCCATAGGAGTATCAATCACATGGCATCACCACAAAGCCCATCTGACATCTGCATATCGATACCACATCAACATGTTTCCCATATCTGAGTACCAAGAGTTTGAGGCCCACACCTCGCCCTTCGCGCTACAGGATGACGGCGATCAACCCGGCTCGGCTGTTGCTCCGCCCTTTTCAACAGGTGCGCATTGCGGGGTGACGTTGGCCCCTCTATCTGGTCGATAGCTGTTGACTGCCGTTCAAAACCCGATATCGAGATAGATATAACCTGATAATTCTCTTTGCAGCTCGCGGGCATATCTTGTAGTTGGAGGGCAGTCTATCACTTTTCTAATTACCATTTACCTGGAAGTCATGTCATCTTCAACGAATGCGTCCACTTGGGGCTCCCCTTCTGGAACCATCAAGTTTCCCAAGGAAGTAGCGCCTTTCACCGTCAGTATTTCTCAAGAGCAACTCGACCGGACCCAGGCCCTTCTCAAACTATCCCCCATCCCAGGAGAATGCTATGAAAATTCTCTACCCGATGGCAGCCGAAAGCTGGGTCTGAGAAGAGAATGGCTTGTGGAGGCTAAACGAGTTTGGGAGGAGGAATTCGACTGGTATTTGCACCGTTCTCTTTTTTTTTCTCATCAATGAACACATATGTTAACAGACACAAGGAAATCCGTTGAATCTCGGATCAACAGCTTCCCAAATTTCACTGCCCCGGTTCCTGTCAATGACAAAGGTGAACAGATCAACATTCAATTTCTTGGAGTCTTCAGTCAAAATCCCAACGCCGTGCCAGTCGTCTTTCTACATGGATGGCCTGGATCTATCTTGGAATTTCTCCCCCTATTCAATCTGCTCAAGAAGAGCTACCCCGACTCGTCCCAGCTCCCATTCCATCTGATTGCGCCCTCGTTGCCTGGCTTTGGATTCTCCGATCAGTTCCCCACCGACAGAAACTACGGCATGGAAGACGTTGCCTTCGTCGTCGACTCATTCATGGTCGGTACGCTTGGTTTGAAGAATTATGTAGTTCAAGGAGGTGATATCGGCTCACGCATCGCACGCGTCCTCGGCAACCGGTATGAGCACTGCAGTGCTGTGCTAGTCAACTACAGCCCTGTCCCGCCGCCAGAAGGCTTCGATTTCACAACGCTGAGCGAAAAAGACAAGAAGGGGCTGGAAAGAGGCGATTGGTTTCGCAATGACGGCTCCGCCTACGCTATGATGGCAGCTTCTAGACCCGGCACACTGGGGTTGGCTCTGTCCACCAACCCGCTCGCCTTGCTGGCCTGGGTAGGAGAAAAGTACCTCGACTGGACCGACCCCCTTTCTTTTGCTCAAGATCGGACACTACCCAGCGGGGCTCGGTACTCGAGGAAGCTGATGGAGGAGATTATCGCGAGCGTGGCGCTGTACTGGCACACTGGCAAGATCCACACTAGCTTTTATTCCTACCGGGAGGCGTTTGCCCTCAACGGGCGGGCCCCGCCGTCGAGTAACGCGCAGTTCCCAGTGATGGCCCCGAAGAAGGTGGGCATGATGTGGTTCCCGTACGAAGTCATTCCCACCCCTAGAGCATGGATAGAGAAATACTCCAATTTGATCTTTTGGAGGGAGGAGGAAGTGGGCGGGCATTTTGCGCAGTTGGAACAGCCTGGAGTTCTTGCCAGGGGGCTGGAGGATTTTGTCAAAGTTTTGCAGCAGAAGTGAGGGACTTCAAAGGGGGTTTATTCCTCTTATATGTACATACATCATGATTTGTGGTGTTTCGATACTACCGAGGAGAAGATTTCCAGTTTGCTCAGACCCGAATGGTAACAGCAAAAACGCCCTGTCCACCGCCCACATACGCGACGTTCCTGTCCTTGTCTGTCCTCCCGAACGCACAGCTCGTGCTGCCTGTCACGGTACCCACGCTCACGGGGCTGGGTCTCGCCGCGGTCGGGTCAACCTCGACAAGCGAGTTCCTGCTGTTGGTGGTGACATAGATCTTGCCGTTGGGGCCGAAGCAGAGGTCATCGCCCATGAGGTTGGTCCAGAGGGTGGTCTGGGCGCCCGTGCTCTTGGCCGTGACGGGATCGAGGGGGATCTTGTGGAACGAGTTGCGGAAGATGTTGGTGTACCAGAGCGTCCCGTTGGCGTATCGGATGCCGTCGATGCCGAAGGGGATGCCGCCCGATGGCGCCATGGTGGGGTCGCGGGCGACTTCCGAGTAGTCGCCCGTGTTGACGTCGATCTTGTAGACGTTGCCGCGGCCGGCGTCCGCGACCAGGACGGTGGAGTTGTCAAAGTAGGCGAGGCCGTTGAGGTTCTGGGCCTCGGTGATGGTCTTGATGAGGGTGGACCGGGGAGTGCCGGAGGTGAAGTCGACTTTGTAGATGGATTTCCCGCCGCCAATGACGGCGAATTGGTCGGGCTGGTACTCGGCGATTCCTGAGAGGCCGTTGGTGCCGGAGACGGAGAGAGCAGTGGAGGAGGTCTTGGCTACGGGGTCAACGGAGTAGAGGGTTGCGCTGTTCATGTTGGTAGCCAGGATGAGGCCGTTGGAACGGACGGCGACATTCTCGATGGAGTTGATGCGGACGACTTGCTGAGCAGCCTGTCGGGGAGCTACTGGGGTTGCTGAGCCCAGGCTGGCGCTGGCCAGGAGGGAGATGAGAGTCACTTGGGACAACATCGCGATGGGTCTATGGTGCCAGGGGTTTGGAAGGATTACAAGTGACAGGAGGTAAAACACGGCGGCGTCGCCTCCTTCAAGTAATATTTTCAAGTTTAGAATTCTACCCAAGACAACCCCTCAGATCAACAGCCAAATCTGTTCAAGAAGTGAGGAGGAGGACCGGAAGGGCCCGGTATAAATGGGCCTTGGCACTTTTTTCCAATTGCGGCTCGCGGCTGGGTTGATCGTCAATTATTCCTCGGCCGCAGCCTAAATGATCAAGTTGACAGAGTCTGGGGTAGGCAATCTGGCTAATCCGGACACAACCAATTATGACTAGCCGCAGCTGACGTACTCCATCCGAGGCTTGTTTGTGCTTGTTTATGTGCGGTGTCTAATAATGCGGTCCGATCAGGGGTGCATGTTCCATGTATGGTGGAAGAAGCTTTCCCCAAGAGACCCCAGACCCGCTGACTATAAGGTTGTTTTTGTTACGTGAGCTTATAGACCTGACTTGAGTCTATAGGTCTCTCAATGGTATAAGTCACATGGGCGCAGGAGTTGAGTTGCCCCTGAATCCGTCGTAGATGAAGCCAACTACCTACCTAAAGTAAGGTACTGTCGATCTGGTCTGCCGAACAATACATGTCTTGAGGTAACTTGGTAATTACGAGGCTATATATTAATTCTGCTTCGACAAAAAGAGTCCACTACACATTGAAGTGGATGTAGTTAAAGGCGGATGTCGGTTGTCATTTTAGAACCAAAACATGAAAAAGATATTGCCGCCAATGCGAGGCAAAAGAACAACTTTAGCTGTTTGGACGAGTTGGGAATCAAACCCAAGACCTTTCGCATGAGATGCTTACTGCAAAGCGAACGCGCTACCAATTGCGCCACACGCCCGATAAGAAGTGGAAATTTGTGGTGAGATCAGGGGTATTGGACGAGCATGGAATCGAACCCAAGACCTTGTGCATTTCCTGAGAGAGAGAAGATGTTTAGCATCTTCTGAACGCTCTATCAACTAAGCCACACGTCCCCAGTTACCTTAATTTGATGATATCGTGGATGGAAGATGCTGTTCTGTTTCGGGTTGGTCAGGCAGTGGTGCGGGATTAGACTTCGTTCAGGTTGGGGATGATGGCGCCTGGTGAAAATCATGGAACACCAAGCGTATGGTATGGTCCAATCAAACGGGTCACAGATCGACGGCGTTATGCGGTGAATGTGCGAGTCAGCCTTGCTATAAACAGATACCTATTCAGAGCAATTGACGCAAGGTTCAGTTTCTTGGGTAACTTGTTTCATTTTGTATGATTGCTCCGATGAAGTCAGTTTTGCCGCAAGGAGGATTCAGATATCTTCAAACCCCCGCTGTTGCCGTCCGCCCCGGAGCCCGGCCGTAATGTCGACTCGGGGCAGAAATTTTGTTTCTTGAATAGCAGAAAAGGCATGATATCTCCCCGGTGCTTACCTGATTGTCTTGCGTGACACAAGACGCGGCTGTTTGGAAGTTTATTCGGCTGCCTGAAGCTTAGGTATTTTTCATCTCTGGGAATTGGGAAACATTCCGCCTCTCTCTGTGTAACCAGATAGCCCTATCTATCTGTCATCCGAACTCATGATGCTAAAGAAGTCAGCCCCCACGGGGAAAGGGTAACGGCACCCCTTGAATCTTGGAGCGTCACACAATGTCGATGGATTCTACCGAGAATCCCTCCGAACCGAAACTTTCAAGTTCTCAATGACTCGCAGGATCCCTTTTTGCTTCACACTGCCGTTTCATCGTAGGTATACATCTAAGGCACTCGCATTACCTAAGAAGACCCCATGCTCAGGGCCGGTTCCCTTCATGGAGTATGCTCCGGTCAGCGGACATTGCGTTTTACAGGACACTTGATATCAGTCGTCAAAATACGGGCCACACGGCGACCAAAACTTGGTTAGCCTCAATAAGCCTCAGGTTAGCCATTGCTAACAATGATGTGAAGCCCGTACCCGCAAACACAGATACAAGATTCTTGGCAAGGCTGGCTCATAGGCCAATACGTAAAGACCTGACAGCACTGGACGAGGCACGGATCATATACCCCATCCGCTCATGGCCAGGAGGATGCCAGCGGTGGATGACAAAGTCGGAGTCGAGAGGGGGCTCGGTAACCCGTTGCCGTACAAGAACAAATAAGAAGATCAGACGAAAGAGGAGACGAAACTATGTTTCCATCTCATCTCCTGCTAGTGATAGCCAAAGTGGCGTTGAAGCATGATTGCAAAGTTTGCATGGTGGTGGCCCGGTGGCTGGGGACCACGCACCATTCGGGCCGGCCACCGACGACTGAAAAAAGGCAAAGGTAGAAAGTGGCCGAGAATACCAGGCCGTAAACTGCGGTGATACTGGAGATGTGGAGTTAGCGGCAAAGGTGGCCAAATTGATGGCCGATATTAAGTTGCTGCGGGATTCCCGCGAGGAGACACGTTGTGTGCAAGGATGCTAGTATCCAACATTCTCAGGAATGTGCCGCACTGGTGCTGGTGATGCCATGTCGCTAAGACTGTATCAGCCTTGCATTATCCACTTGAAACAGGTACAGCCTTCTTCCCCAGGTTGTTTATCGACATGGTCGTACAGTACAATTGGATTTGACGTGCATCCGGCCGAAACACCGAAAGTTTATTCTCGATGGAGATGGAGCATGGTAGATGTTGTGCCGCTGGAGCTGTTGTTGGTGGTCTGGTTTGACAATCTTATTTCTGTCGACAACTCCGTGGTTAGGTACAGTGTGAAATTTGGGGGCGGTCTTGCGAACTTTCTATAGCTACTTTGACGTCATCGAAAATCATGCTTGCATTAGATTGGGACTTGTTGCTAAACACCGCCCGCGCCTGTTGATCTGTATTTTTATGTGCTTGCGACGTTTCCAAATAGGGCTCTTGATTTCTGCAAATATTGATGATGGTAGCTAGGTAATTGTGATGTCTGCTGTATCCGTACACACTGTCAGTTAGATTTCCTGATTTCCTGATCTCTTGATGCTAGTGCTGCCCGGCTCCTTCCGTGAAGCTCCTCCAGTTGGGCATGGCGATGAAATTAGATGTAGGGCCGCAGCTCATCTCTAGGCGCGTGGCTGATGGTGTTTGACCCCGCCGGCAGTCGGCTGAGACGATGCACTCTCGTCCAAAACATGGCCGGCTGGAACACAGCATCGAAGGATGGAAACAAGGAAGCCAAACCAGCTTTGCCGCACTTTTGCCGCTTCTTGATTCTGTGAACTGTCCCGCTCGGCTGGGAATGGAACCCATTGACGCGTCGGGGAAGCTGGCACGGGGCACAGCATTCCATGCTCCAGCGCGTTGGATCAGGGGTTGATTGGCCGCCTTACCCATTTCGGAGTGGCATCGCCAGTATCGACTGCTAACACAACAATGACTGAACCAACACTGGCGCTTCATGCACAAGATGCTCGCTGTTTTGTTTTTTTCCAGGTGGCGTCTTGTCAATTCTTAGTGCGTATTTTGACGAACACGTTATCTCCAATTCCCGACATGAAGGCCGCCGTGAAGCCCGCCGTGAGGGGTGATGTGGACAAAATCAGTACTGGTATGTCCGGAGATAAATGCTGTGCCCGGTATTAACTCTCCCCTGCGCGGGACGGGTCCGAAAAACCACGACCGGGCCGAGCGATCTGGTCCGGATCCGGGGGTCACCCACGGAGGAGCCCGCCCACTTCTCCGTCGTACTACCAACAAATCATCTCCCGGGTTCTGCAGGGGGCCAAAATGTTGGACATAACCTTCCCTGCACATAAGGGTGACGTGGTTGGACACACGACTGGTATTCGAGAACCATGATTGTAGTTGGAGCTGGATCGCTTGGCGTCTATCTAGCAAGGTCCCAACGCCGGATATCCCCCGCCACTCCCGAGTGGCGCTCTTAACGCCGCAGACAATAAGGATAACCTCATGGCGAGCTCCGGGACCCTCGTGCGAGTGAGTCGGCTTTCCCGGACGAAAGGATATTGTGATCCGTTTCAGGAGTCATGATACATAGGTACCTAGGTTTGTGTAACGCAGGTTGGCGGGCGGTTTTACAAGCAACCACCACCTGACTGCATGAATGAATCTTGCCAAAGCAGCTGGTGAATGCCAGAAACATGATGGATGTAGATTGATTGCGATCTTGAACATGATAGTGTTATTGTAGGTAGATAGTAGTAGTATTCCATCTAAGCTTTGTACCTCTAATAAAACAAAATAAAGTACTAAGAAAATAAAACATGCTTAATGAAAGTCAAGAATCGCCTGCGTAGTATAACATGATGTGGTATGATACAGAGATCCCTTGCGAGCTTCTTCTGTATCGATGCAAAGTCTAAAGTTTCTCTAAATCCCCGTCTATCGTGTATAGGTACCCATCTGATAATGTGATGCTCCAGAAAATCCGTCCCGCCATGCAAATGCTAATCGTGTTGTACAAGTAATACAAGTACATTGCGTCCTACCGGATAGTTAGTTGATCTGACCCGTGCGAGTAACAAGGACCAATTCAAGGTCACCATACCATAATCATACACTCCCTGTGCTGTACGCCAGTGCTTGCTGTCTAGAAGTTGACGAACTCGTACAATCTTCTGCAATCTTCGCAGTCCTCGTAGCTGATGACTTTGAAAACCTTGTCGTGACGACTGTCGAAGCGGCATTCGCCGTAGATGTAACGAGTGTAGACGGTGCACGAGTATGCTTGCCTACGGACTTTGCTCCGGTGTTGGCAAGCATACACGGTTTGTTCCCAGTTGCACATGGTTGCTAAGGTAGTTTTGGCTTCAAATACCCGCCTAGAGAAGATGATGGCGACGAAAGGTAGAAGGCGTGTGTTGTCTCGAGTAAGGTTGTACGTCGATGATGATGCTGATGCTGATCCGATGGCTTAGATGTAAACCAAGGTCGAGTATCTTTTCTGATGTGTGAATGGATAGCGAAAAGGGGGTGAGAAGGCGATGTGGACGCCGAGTATATATATCTGGGGAGGTAGATGCTGTCTTGTGCTCTGGGTAGTCGAGGGATCCACGGTGTACTCGTCAAGTCTTGACGAGATATGGGGCGCCTTCTGGAAAAATCCCTATTACACTGGTGGCGTCGATCGTGGCCAACAATCAAGGCGGATTGGTCATGGAAGAGACAACTAGACCTGGTACAGGTCCACCCAAAGCAAGGTAGGGTGGTCATTGTCTACCTAGACAAAAACATCTCAACTCACACACACCCCAGCCGTGCCTCATTATGGAGCCCATAAGAGAAACACGGGCAAGAATGCCTTGGAAGCCAAATCGAGATTAGGAAGTACTACATGAAGTTGTGGTTGAGTTGGGCGAGGGATTCTGGCCAAGCATCCGGGCCGCTGGTGGCAGTGGTACATACCACACTTGTTTGGTGGCCACTGAAAGCAGAATCGGCAGTCAAATTCATCCCATGTCCCTCGCGGCGCAGTGCCTGAGTTGGGACGTGGCTCCGCCTCCTGAACACAAGTTCGTTGGTTTGACGAGAAAGTCCCATTGGTACATTTTAGCGTGCATGGTTGGTGGCAGCCATTAAGCGCGACCCAATAGGGGGCCAAGTCTTGCACTGCACAGACGGTCACACGATATCAACAGACAGTCGCATAAAAGCCCAGATGCGCGTGGAATCGAGATTGATTTTACTCGCGGAAAATATCGAGGGGAAAACCATAAGGTACATGAGGTCCAAGGCCTGAGGCAAGCCACACCCCGCGAGGCGGAGAAACACTGTCCTCAGGATGGGCCAAGCCTGAGAATTATCACCTATGAATCACCCCAAGCGGATAATTTTCTCAAACAAGCATTGCCCTCCCGCTCTCAATGCACGCCCATCGGCCGCCGTCCCTGTGACTCTGTTTCTGGACCATAATTCAGTGGAATCTACTGGTCTGTTGCACCAGGTCCTGTGGCCTGTGGATTCCTTGCTATGCACACCTGATGCCTGAAAATGCCTAGCGGATGAGTAACTCGCTGTTGAAATGTTGAA